TCCACTAAAATAAATAAATAAATAAACCTAATTACCCCCACCCCAAACAAAACCAAACAAACAATTTGTCATGTCACCCTCTGTACAGGGTTTATTTCAGAGTACGGGGCAAATTACAAGGACTTCATGCTACCTTTTATAGTTTTCCTCAACTGCAAACCCTTCTCCCTCTCTGAGGCTCAGAGCTCTTTATCGGGGTTAGTGGCAGGGCCAAGGTTCTACTTACACCTGCTTTGTGAATCTCTCCAGTGTCACAACAGAGCCCTCAATGTTTGCCCTAAAAGGCTAAAGTTGCTTTTCTCTTTGCCTCTCTACTGTGTTTCTTGCAAGTCCCCAGTGGAGCAAATGTAAGCCCCACGTTTCTGAGTCTGATGGGAGAGCGGTCCAGGAACTAAGATTGAATTCCTCATTATTATTCTGCTGCCTGTACCTTATTCGCTAGATTTTGCTAGTGTTAAGTGTTCAAATAATTACTGCTTATTCACGAAGTAGATCAACAAAGGATCTTTTGAAAGGACCCTCTGTGGTTTGGGGTACAGTCGTTGAGGTCTTCAAGCACTCTGCCTCCACACTGAAGCAGGACCCACGCTTACAGTGCTGGATGCGGCCCCAGGGGTGGGACTATGCAGCTTGCTGCTTTAAGGAGCCCCACCATGGCTAAGTTGATCAGCCACCCAGTCTCTCTTCCATCCCATCAGGTCTTCCCACAGGCCTTCCGACTTCTTGTCCTAAGCACCTTGCAATTACTCCCTGCCGAGCTTAGCCACTTTCCCCAAGGCTTTTTCAAAGGACCCCTTCTGTGCGCATCCTCCCAGCTTTTGACACTGAGGATCACTTCAAAGGCTGGCAGCCCCGGGAAGGGAGGAATGACAATAAAAGAAATCCCAACTGGAGAAAGGTTTGCTTTGGCAGCTGCTGGATTGTTCTGTAGATGGGGAGGCGCCTGCTGCAACCTCTGCAGCTCCCTCGCCCTCACAGCTCATTACAGATGTTTTCTTTCGGTCTGGTGCCCTTCTGTCCCGCCTGGGCCTCTGAGCCCCGACTTCTAGCAGGCTTATGTAAGTGTCCGCAAGGCCTCCACTGCTCCTGCCTCCGCTGATTCCTTTATCTGATGCCAACATGCCATTCTCCACATCTTGCTCTGAGTCACACTCAGAAGCTGGGGCCCTTTGCTCTTCAGTTATGCGATTTATTTTCAGGCCCCTGGGCTCAGCCCAGTGGAACAACCCTCTACCAGCAAGACTGCCCCATCGTGTGTTTCCTCCAGGAACCACTTGTGGGCCTCCACCGAAATCCTGAACTTCAACAAGAGTATTATTATTATTTGGGGTTCATTTTTTGTTTTGTGGGAGGAGGTAATTAGGTTTCTTTCTTTCTTTATTTAATGGCAGTATTGAAGATTGAACCCAGGACCTCGTGCATGCTAAGCATGCTACCACTGAGCTAGACCTCCCCCACTGGAGTATTATTATTTCTTTGTGCAGGGCTTGAAATTTTTTCTAAAGCATCCTGCAAACCAAACCAATCACTGAATTCACCCCACTGATCACCAATTTAGGACCATTAACTGATTTGCCTGAACAAGGAATTTTTGACCCTCTTGAAGTACTTTTGACCTTCTCTTGCAGTGTTGGTTTACATAAAATGCTTTTGAAAAGCCCGAACCATAGAGCCCAGAAAACGACCCGCACAGCCCAGGAGACACGTGCTGGCATCCATGCCGTCCGTGGGGGCGGCTGTCCTTCAGGTTCACTTGGGAGATCTGGCCAAGTATTGAGTCCTTCTCTTGAGGAAATGGGGCCCACACAGCCTCCTGATCTCCCTGCAGACCATGCAGCAGACGGCTGGCCAGGTGGCCTTTTGCTGTCCCTAGCACGCAGTGGGTTCATCCGTTAGGGACGTGAAAATGCAGGCACCCTTTGTTCCTTGTGCTTCTGTCCAGAGGCTGCTTCCCCTCCCAGAGGGCTCCCTAGGCCTGCCTTCGGGGGCTGCTGCCTCCCCCTTTCCCCACTGCCCCCTCGCACCAGGAAAGGTCAGAGCAGCTGGACAAACACCACATGCCCAAGTTAAAGTAACAAAGACCCTTTCTGGGGCCTTGCTCGAGCTTACTGATGATAAGAGACTGTTTCCTAAAAGAAAACAGTCCCTCGGAACCTAAGCCACCTGCTCGAAAGCACCTCCTGCCTGTCTGATGTAATCTGAGAACAGAACCTGGAACTGAGTGCCCTGTGGATTGCTTGGAACTGGTTAGGAAGTAAGTTGTTCTAGTATTCTTTTCTGTTTGCACTGAGCTAACTCAAAAATAGAGCAACAGGTGACCCACGTGGAGTTCTGCCCACGCAGATTACGTCAAGACACGAAAAGGGTGCTTTCCAAGAGCCTCAATCTGTCCGTGTGTGTGAGTATGTGTGGGAAAAAAACACACTGGGAATATGATGACAGGGTGAAAATTGTACTCACCAAACTTGTCTCAGGGAAGGAAAGTGCTGTATGTGGTTCAAAGGCATAAAGTTCTCACATAGCCACCTGGGCTGGGAATGAGAACCTCTACGAGGCATCCTTGAATAAAAACAGTCGGCCAACTAACTACTTCTAAGAAACTAACTAACTAACTAACTGTCTAACTTTCTAACCAACTGTCTTCTAAGGAAGACAAGCGCAATTAATTACTAAGTTCTTGTTTTCCCTGGTGGAATGCGGCCAGAGCAGAACTGCTGGGTCAACAGAGGAGAGGCTGAGTCCTGCCGCCCGTGTCCTCCTTCTCTGCCAGAGCTTCTGGCATCTCCCTCAACCAGTGAACTGAAAAGTCTAGAGTATCTTTGAAATATTAGTTGAAGGAGTGCCAAAACGTTAGCTTGCCAAGAAACCCACACATTTGGCTAAGCAGTTTGCTGGACCTTAGCAGTTTGCCATCTTGGAACTTTGACTGGTTCACCCTGGGGAGATAGCATTGTTCATCTGGACAGTTTTTCAACTAGGTGATTTGAGTGTCCTGGTTCCAGACCTTCCTCTTGGGGAGTGGGTGTAAGTGGGGAGATCTCAAGGCAAATCTCTACTTTAGAGTTAAAAAGAGGAAGCAGGACACCTGTGCAGTCACTTCGCCAATTTTCACTGGGCAATGAGAGTAAGGTTACTCAACTCCCAAGTTCTCTTACCCTAGGTATCAGCTCTATTCCAGCCAAGACCCACCTGAGAAGAGCTGGCTCCACACAGAGCCTCTGGGCTGAAGTCCCCAGTAGGAATTAGGAAGGCAGATAGCTA